ATATATATATATATATATATATATAAAGAAATTTAAGTTTGTTGATGTGGCATACTTCTTTGATCAGTGTTTGTGTTTTTCTTTTTTTGTCATTTTTAGACATTTTAATTATCATCCTTTCTCATATAATATCAACAGAATATTAATATGACTAACATTTAATTAATAAAATCCCCACCCACGTTCCGCTCATAAATTATCTATTTTTTAACCGTTCGTTTCAAAACCCAGACATTACAATTATTTTTTGATAAATGACATTAAATCAGGCAAACGCTTCTTTTCCTAAAAGAAGTAACTATTGCTTCTTTCCCTTTTAACTTCTTTCAGTTCACCATCTTCCTTATTTTTTGTCCTATCCTGGCAAATCCTCTTTCTTATATCACCGTTTACCGCTCAACTTCTTTGTACTAATCAACAACAATTACAACATACTCAACGTGTGAGTAATTTCACAAGTGATTGCGGAACTTTGTTTTGGTAATATATCTATCTATCTATCTATCTATCTATCTATCTATCTATATATCTATACCTATATATATATAAAGGAGAAACTTAAGTTTGTTGATGTGACATACTTCTTTGATCAGTGTTTCTGTTTTTCTTTTTTGTCAATTTTTTGACATTTTAATTATCAGCCATTCTCATATAATATTAACATAATATTAATATGGCTAGCATTTAATTAATAAAGTCCTCACCCACGTAACACTCATAAATTATCTATTTTTTTAACCGTTCGTTTCACAACCCACACATTACAATTACTCCTTAATAAATGACATTAAATCAGGCAAGCGTTTCTTTTCGTAAAAAAGTAACTGTTTCTTCTTCCCCTTTTAACTTCTTTCATTTCACCATCTTCCTTATTTTTTGTCCTATCCTAACAAATCCTGTTTCTTATATCACCCTTTACCTCTCAACTTCTTTCTACTATTCAACAACAATATATATATATATATATATATATATATATATATATATATATATATATATATATATATATATATATATATATATGTCTAAGGGCTTGTAAAAGACCTCCAAGAGTTTGAATACGCCGTGTAACTTCTTGGGTATACCCCTGGGTCTTTACAATAAATCTATTGAATAAGTTGGCTTATTAGAGTTAGGTTGTCAACTCATAGTAGGCAAAATTCTTATGTCGATGTGAGGGGAAGGGAGTTAGAATTGTGTTTAATTTAAAATCTCACCTATGAAGGTATGATGAGTTTTGGCAAAAACAAGAAACTTAGTCCCCGGTTTGTAGGCCCATATCAAATTTTGAAGCATATTTGGAAATTTTTCTATGAATTAGACTTTTCAAATAAGTTGGTCTCGGTTCACCCGGTATTCCATGTTTCCATGCTTGAAAGTTGTATTCAAGATCTTCTGTCCATTATTCCTATGGAAAGAATAGGTGTTGATGAAAGTCTTTCTTGTGAGGAGGTTCAGGTAGAGATCCTTCTTCGACAATTCAAGAGATTGATAATAAGGAAGTAATTTACTGATTAGCCCTAGAATTAGACTCATTGAACCCTTTATTTATGTAGATTTAGTGTAAGACTGGTCAACGGACCAGAACCGGTTTACCGGGCCGGAATGAATCGGTACCGGACCGGACCGGAATGAACCGGTACCGTACCGGACCGGAACCCGTTGATCGGTATGTTGACCGGTACCGGGATGAACCGGACCGGAATTACCGGGATGATTCATCGGTTCCGTCCCATTCCACTATATACCGGAATGGACCGGGATGGCATTAATGGGACGATATTTTTTGGAATTACGAAAATATAATTATTTTTTATTTTTAAGTATAAATTAATAGTTTTTAAATTTTTACTTTAATTTTTACTTAAGTTTATTTTAAAACTTTATTATTATAAATATGACTAAAACCTCGTTTTTGAGGTTAGACTCTTTACTATTTTTCAGATTTGTGTTATTGGAAGTTAAACTTTTATTTTTGGGGAACACTTTAATTTTCCGGAATCATTTATTTTAATATATTAGTGAAATCAAGTGATATTGCTTGGTTTTCTTCAAAATTGTTAAAGTAAGCACATAATTTCTTGTTTAACAATTATGAATTGTGTAATTCATAGCATAGGTAACTAAATCCACAACTAGGGTTGTGGAAACCATGGGTAATTAACAATGTAAAACTAGCTAAATAATAATTCTAGAATAGGGTCTTGCATGTATTGATAATTCTTTTGTTTAGATGTCTTTTTAACGAGTGCACGCGTTAGAACTTGCCTTATTTCTACTTGCCGGACCAAGGAGGTAGTTGATAGTAAAAGAATTATCAACATAGATTTACCATACACTATCTAATAGGCTTGTTTCAATTGGTGCAAAGTAGTAACTTAGCCAAACATTGAATATGATACATAAAATGAGGTAAATGTAAGTATTAGTAAAGTAGACACACGTAGCCGGACCAATGTACTAGTGAAATTCTCTTGTTGCTGGACAAAAGAAATTAGGGATACATAACTTACAACTTTGCATGCAAGATACTAGGAAAGGATTGTTTATCTAGGATTAGCGCGTTATGAACCTATGGGGAACACTTTCACCCTAGTTTCTCTTATCACTTGATAAACACCAAAGTTATAAACTAGCTATTAGTCTTAGTTAGAAATAATTAAATATTTTTGTTACACAAAACCCCCCTTTTAGCAAATTGTTTTTGGAAAGGACTTGACTAAATAGACATAATCGTAGATTGAAGTTAAGTCTAAACCATTTTTCTCGTGGGATCGACCTCAACATAAAAATTGTGTTCTTTACCTGATACGGCCGCTTATACTTCTTTAGTAAGGTATAATTTGAGTGTATCAAATTTTGGCGCTGCTGCCGGGGTTAGTGGCTTTTAGATTAAATTTAAGCATATTACCGAATTTCAGTCAACAATTTCATATACTTTTTATTTTTGTTTTTGTCTATCGCAGGTCTAGCATTAGTGGGTGTGAAGAACACGAAGTCGAGAAGAACCAATACTTTCACTTGATCCAGAACTAAACCGTACACTTTGTAGAATGAATATTCAAAACAATCCTGCTTATATCGATCATGAGATAAACCCTCAACTTCTCCCGCTGGTTGATGCTCATAATCAAGTGATTGTTGATAACCCCGGTGAAGGTAATCCGAGGAGGCAACCTCCTGCCCTACGCCCTAAAGAGTAGTATAGGGGAAATGTTAACATCACTGACTCTAATGGTCCACTTGTCCTACTTCCTCTACCACATGGTCATACTTTCATGGTAACTAGTAGCTTGATGCAGATTCTCACCGCTTGAGGATAGTTTTCGGGGCTACAATGGGGCTACCATATGAATATCAACATGATCGCATCCACAAACAGAGGTCGGTGTGTAAAAGTTGTGTAGGGAGACCTGACTTGGACAAAGATGTCATTGGGTTAAGATTTTCCCTCTCTCACTAACAGGAGACGCTGCTATATGGTTTACCAACCTTCCCTATAGCTCGATTTACACTTGGAACCAATTGAGGAATGTGTTCTTAGCATGTTACTATCCGGTGTCTAAGAAGATAAACTACAAAGATAGAGTGAACAACTTTGTGGCATTACCAGGGGAAATAGTAAGCAGTTCTTGGATAGGTACACCTCATTCTGGAGAAGTGTCCCAAACCACGCATTGATGAGGAGTCGCTGAAAGAGTACTTCTATCAAGGGCAAAATGATAATAATAAAGCAGTGCTTTATACTATTGCGGGTTGTTCTTATGAGGAGTGTACTTATGCATAGATTGCGAAGTTAGAGAAAGTCTCCCGAAATAATAATAAAGCTTAGAGCACTAACTAGGAGAAACATTTTTGCAATGCAAGCTTCACACAACCCAGGCGTAGATGAGATTCGTGAAGAGATGGCTCAAATGAGAATTGAGCTTGGGTTTGTGTTAAAACATGTCACCGGAGTGCAAAAAGGGTAAATGAGGTGAACTATTTGGCTAAACAACCACCACCGTTTGATCAGTACTACTATGAAGATGATTCTTATACAGTGAAAGAGCAGAAGGGGGCTTTCCGACTGAAGGCCCAAGGCTCCAATCATGAAAATTGGCTCCAAGGTCAAGGAAATCAAGGTCAGAACTATGGAAATTACAACT